GAGCCACCATGCCTCCCAAAGTGCTGGGATTGTAGGTGAGAGCCACCATGCCTCCCAAAGTGCTGGGATTGTAGGTGTGAGCCACCGCGCCCAGCAATATAATTCCGTTTATGTGAAATGTCCAGAATACAGAAATTCGTAGAAAATAGATGGGTGATTGCCAGGGGATGTGGGAGGAAGGAATGAGAGGAGATTGCTCACAGGCAGAGGATTTTCTTTGAGATTGATGAAAATGTTTTGGAACTGTGATGGTCGCACAACATTGTGAGTGTACTGAATGCCACTGTACACTTGAGAATGATTAATTTTATGTTAGGTGAATCTCATCTCAATAAAAAGAGATCCTGACCGTACCCTGTTACCCTTTGAGGGTTTGAATTGTCAGGTATTGATGGGGACTGTGGCTCATGCCCTACCTTAGTAGCATGGCCCTTCCCTCACTGGCTGAATCCCTTGGGAGAAAATTTGCTGTTGCAGTGACTTTGTTTACCGAGTTGTCTGTGCGGGAGAGGGTGGTTGTCTCTCCAGCAGTCTCATTGACACTGGGTTTCCAGAAAACGTCCAGGGCCAGGAATTAACAGTCACAGCACCTTACCTCTTAGGAGATTTTTTTTTTTTTTTCATTTCTAACCATGCTCTTTTGTTTGAATTCCCCAATTTCTTGGTGCTTGACCTTTTCCTATAATGAGGTTTGTGACAGTGAACAAGACCCCAGGTCACCTGCCGTTGGTGCCAAACTCTGCTAATGCTCCTCCTGTGCCCAAAACAGATGAGGCCCGCGGGCTGGGATCATACAGGCAACATCAGTGTCGGGCACGTCTTGGCCCATTGCTTTGGTTGACTTGGTTGATTATCACGGCAGTCTTCTGAGGCTGGACTGTGGCTCCTGCTGCTTTACAAATGGGGAAATTGAGGCAGAGAGAGTTTCAGGAGCTTGCCCAAGACTACACAGCTAGGAGGAGGCAGAGCCAGGACCACAAAGGAAAAGCTTCCCAACTAGTGTGTAGCAGTGTTCTCAAGGTGAGTTTATTCAAGTACATGTGATTGTTCAGCCTTCGATACATATTTTTTCCAGCTCTGGTTTTAAAGAGTGAATATTTAGGCCAGGCGCAGTGGCTCAGGCCTGTAATCCCAACACTTTGGGAGGTTGAGGCAGGCAAATCACGAGGTCAGGAGTTCAAAACCAGCCTGACCAACCTGTCTCTACCAAAAATACGAAAATTAGCTGGGCGTGGTGTGCTCCTGTAATCCCATTGCTCAGGAGGCTGAGGCAGGGGAATCGCTTGAACCCAGGAAGTGGAGGTTGCAGTGAGCCCAAATCGCTCCACTGCACTCCACTGGGCTACAGAGCGAGACTTTATCTCAAATTAAAAAAAAAAAAAGAATATTTAATTAAAATACAGATTGTTTTTGGTTCTGCCTTTGGTTATGTTAGCTTGGGCACTGTGTTCTCAAATCAACTCGGAGTTTTTGACAATTATGGGTGTGTCTCAGTAGGTCATGGGAGTCAGGATGGCCTTGTCCAGCTTTGTTTGTATCAGCTATTAATTTCTGCCACATTGAAACAATATTAGCCAGGCACAGTGCTTCACACCTCTAATCCCAACACTTTGGGAGGCTAAGGCAGGAGAATCACTTCAGACCAGAAGATGGAGACCAGCCTGGGCAACACAGCAGGACTCCAATTCTACAGAAGACAGACAAAAAAATTAGCCAGGAATCATGGTGTGGTCCTGTAGTCCCAGCTACTCAGGAGGCTGAATGGGGAGGATCGCCTGAGCCCAGGAGGTTGAGGCTGCAGAGAGCTGTGATGGTGCCATTGCCCTCCAGCCTGATCAGCAGAGTGAGATCCCGCCTTAGCAACACAAAACAAAACCCAAAACCCAATCTTGTGTAGCTCTGATGTGTTTTAGCTACACTTTGCGTCTAAATCAATATATATTAACCTGACCATATAATTATCAATATTTATTTTCCGTGATGATTAAATTTCAATTTTTCTAACATCGTGTCTTTTCCTTTTGCAGATAATTCTGCCAGATACCTGGAGAGATGGGCAACAGCAGGAGCCGCGTGGGCCAGAGCTTGTGTTCACAGTTTCTTCCTGAGGAACAGGCCGAGATCGATCAGTTTTTCGATGCTTTGTCATCAGATAAAAACAGTCCGAATACCTCGTCCAGATCCTTCTCTCTGAAGGCACTGCAGGCAAGAGTAACCACCAGAGGTTCACGTTTAGTTGGGAGCAGGGGCCTGCACTCTGTGGTCCTCAGGCCAGAATCTGCCTTCTTGCCTTTGTAATGCAATGGATGGCAACACTGAAAAGTTGGTTTTCTGTAAAGGGCCAGATTTGACCTAGTTTGTCTTTGTGAGCGATGTGGCCTCTGTCACAGCTCCTCTGCTCTGCCATGTCTGTGTGAAATGACTGTAGACAGTGTCTAAACACATCCCTCCCCCTTGTTGAAATCTGTAGTCTCTTATCTGTACTAAAGGAAACTGGAGTAGATAATGAATGATTTACACGCCGTTTTGGGTACATTTCTGACTTGAGATTAACATCAGAGGACATAGCCTGCTTCCTGTGTGTCTTGAACCTCATCTCTCCTAATGCCTTTGCAGAGATGGGGAGATAGATGGGGTGACGGGTCTGCCCTTGTGGACTCGGAGGTCCAGGAACCATGACATGTCAGGTGCGCCTTTGCCTCTAGAATGTGTATGTGCTCGATGTCTAGGAATTTTGTCATATTTCTAACAAAATAATGACATTTCAGACTCAGAGTTCATGTTGCAGAGAGTTCAAACTGCCTGTTTGTCCATATTTTGCCCCGTTGCCTGGGGCTCTCAACTGCAGGTTTGAGTGCTCAGACTGATGCAAGACACTGACAAGGAGATGCCGTCAGCTCATCTTCCTGGTAGTCCAGGCAGCCATCCTAGCAGCCTGCTTCCTCTTGGAGAAAGTGCGGATTGCGAGCAGATGAGGAAACTGGCCAGGGAGGTTATCTGGGTCACAGCTGTGTGGTTGTATGTGCATGTATTGTGCATGCGTGTGCATTCGTGTGTGCAGCTCCACTAGATCAGAAGCGCCCCAGTAGGCCTGCGGGAATGAGCGGAACCAGCCAGGCCTATTTCAGACTTGACTGTAGAGTGGGTGATAATGTTCAGATAAATGCGGCAAAGAGTTAGGCAGAAGACCTTGGCGATGGAATGAAGCCTCCTTTGGGAAAGGATGAGAGAATGCTTTTCCAGTAGAACTTTGCAGACATTGACCGAAATAGGGGTGCTCTTTTTGAGTGGGGAGGGCGGAAGCCTGCCTTACAAGAGCTGCTGAATGTCGATGCTGGGACAAGCCATGTCCACACAGCCGGTTGTTACAGGAGAGCCCAGCTCACAGACCCTGCTGTGCAGGATGTGATTGGTTTATGATTTGCTCGCTCTTTCCATTTCGTTGTAAATCCAGGACCAAAGCAGATTTGATGCTGGAGCAAAAAAGGAAAATGATGTTTTCATCCAGGCATTAATTAAATAGGCTGGGTACGGTGGCTCACACCTGTAATCCCAGCACTTTGGGAAGCCAAGGCAGGAGGATCACTGGAGCCCAGGAGTTTGAGGCTAGCCCGGGCAATACAGCAAGATCCTATCTCTACAAAAAATGCAAAAATTAGCTGAGTGTGGTGGCATACCTCTGTCATCTCAGCCACTCAGGAGGCCGAGGTAGGCAGATCCATTGAGCCTCTGAGGCCTAGGCTGCAGTGAGCTGTGACTGAACCACTGCACTCCATCCTGGGTGACAGAGGAGACCCTGTCTCAAAAAACCCCCAACAAACTAAATTTAAAATTGAAATAAGAATGAATGAAAAATGCATATTGAGCCCAAGGGACATGGACAGGAAGTAAAAGCTGATATATTTGGAAACCCCTAATATAGAGACCAAATTAGCTATACACAGCCATATGTTACATATGTTAATAAATTCAGACATGCAAATAGCAGCTACTAGAATCTAGAATGAAGATAAAGTTCAGAGCAGAGTGAAGATCAGACGGTGGCCAGAGGCAGGAATGAGGAGGCGGAGACTTGGGAGGCAGGCTGGGAGCAGACTGTGGAGGGTCTGATGGCCAAGGTGAGCCGCACCCAGGACGCTTGGGTGGTGTGAGGCCCTTAGGTGAGAGAACACTGCCCTGGAGACGCAGGAGCATTTGGTAGCTGTCGGTGGCATTGTGAAGTGGCCGAGGTTGGTCTTGGCCCCCTACTTATTTTCCTGGGATACTACTGCGATAGTTCTGATGAGTGGAGGAACACCAGCGTTCTCCTTCCTCACACTGATTTAGATGAAACGATATGAACGCACGTGGAGTGGTTTCAAGGAGCAGAGAGTTTAATAGGCGAGAAGGAAGGAAGAGGCTCCCCCGTACAGAGAGGGGGGACTCCAAAGCCAAAAGAAGAGGTCCCCAAGTATGGTAGACATCAGCCAGGTTTGTATGCAGAGTCTGGAGGAGGTGTCTGATTTGCATAGGGCTCAGGGGATTGGTTTGACCAGGCATGTCATTCAGGTAGCCATGAAAAAGCTGGCCTTCCCACCCTAGCCTTTTAATATGCAAATGCAGGGTGCCATGGATGTTCTACACATGTGGGGATATGTGGGGGTGGCCATGTTGCCAGGAACATGTGGGGAAAGGGCAAGAAGGCCATGGGAAGTGCCATGTTAAGTGGACCCAGTTTCTGATGGCCTGCCTTTGCATATCAAAGGTTGCTGGCCTGGCTCTAAGAGCGGAGGCTTTACAAGAAACTTTTTCTTTAAAAGATGAAAATTTCCCAAGGACCCTCTCTTTCTGCCTAAAATAATTTCTTGATAACTTCCACAACACTACCAAGTTCACCTCATGCACTGTCTAACCATTTTTTTCTGCTTGTCTCCAACAGAACCACATCGGGGAAGCTCTTCCCCCAGAGATGGTCACCAGGTTGTATGATGGCATGCGGAGGGTTGACCTGACGGGGAAGGTGAAGGGACCCAGTGAGAACGTGTCCCAGGAGCAGTTCGCAGCATCCATGTCCCACCTGTTGAAAGGAAGCTCTGAGGAGAAGAGTCTCATGATTGTGAAAATGATTTCTGCCACAGAAGGTCCCGTGAAGGCTAGAGAAGTCCAAAAGGTAGTGAGGCCGCGAGGCCCTTTGCAGCCTCCTCAGCAGTCTTGGGCACCATAGGTCGGGGGCAGAGGCCAGTTACATAGCAGATGGAGGGGTAAACCAACAAGTATCTGAGATGGGTCTCAATCAACTGAAGTTTGTTTTGCCAAGATTAAGGGCACGTCTGGGAGTGAGGTCTGTGCCTTTCTCTAAAGATGATTTTGAGGGCTTCAGGATTTAAAGGGGAAAAGCAGGCTGCAGGGGAAAGAGGGAGGGTCTGGTCCCATTACTGAATTCACATTTTGCAAGAGGAAGGGAGCAGGCAGGGGAGTAGTCAATATGTATCTGTCTTGTGCTCAGTAAATCGGCACTTTACATTCGATCAAGTGAGCATAGTCGCTACCTATGGAGATTTTATTTTATTTATTTATTTGTTTACTTTTTGAGACGGAGTTTTGATCTGTCTTCCAGGCTAGAGTGGAGTGAGGCGATATTGGTTCACTGCAGCCTCTGCCTCTGGGGTTTAAGCAATTCTCCTGCCTCAGCCTCCTGAGTAGCTGGCACTACAGGCGTGTACCACCACGGCCCCCCTGATTTTTTTATTTTTAGTAGAGGAGGGGTTTCACCAAGTTGGCCAGGCTGGTCTTAAACTCCTGAGCTCAGGTGATCTGCCCGCCTCAGCCTCCCAAAGTGCTGGGATTACAGGTGTGAGCCACTGCACCGGCCAGCTGTGGAGATTTTAAACCTTTTATCTGTAGCTCTCTGCTTAGGAATAAAAGAAAAGGCAGTTTCCTGCATGACTCAGCTTTTAGCGTAATTTTTCCTTGTGGCAGAGCAAATGGAGTTCTGAGTTTTTCTTTTTTTTTTCTTTTGTTTTTTTTTTTTGAGACGGAGTTTCACTCTTGTTACCCAGGCTGGAGTGCAATGGCGCGATCTCGGTTCACCGCAACCTCTGCCTCCTGGGTTCAGGCAATTCTCCTGCCTCAGCCTCCTGAGTAGCTGGGACTATAGGCATGCGCCACCATGCCCAGCTAATGTTTTGTATTTTTAGTAGAGACGGGGTTTCACCATGTTAACCAGTATGGTCTCGATCTCTTGACCTTGTGATCCACCTGCCTTGGCCTCCCAAAGTGCTGGGATTACAGGCGTGAGCCACCGTGCCTGGCTTTATTTTTCTTTCACATTTTTTCCCCCTATGTCTTTGACAGATCTTTTGGAGAAAGCATTTTAGGGAAAATGAGTGTCAGGGCTTGGGTTTTGTCTGAACTGTCATGGCTAGAATGGTTTATTCCTAGTCAGATAGGGCCCACGTTGTTAGGGAAGGTCAAAAGCAGGCTGTGCAGTCTCATGTCCTGTGAAGAAAAAGTAGTGGGGGAGGAAGAGAGAAAAACCACAAAAACAAAAAGGGGAAGACAGTACCAGAACACAGACATAGGCCATATTACTCTGGAGTCTGTATATCAGTAGGCGGGCGTGGGGATGGTTATCTATGTAAATAGGTTGCTGTCATTTCAAAGTCTGAGTTGTCCAGTTTTAGTTCTCAGGGCTTTAGGAAGAGCACAGCTTAATTGTCATTGATTTCCAATGGGAACAATGAGCGGGGGAAAGGAAAAGAAGGAAAAGAATGGAATGTTATTTTAAAGACTTACAGCCAGGACAAAATTTTAAGATTGTCTAGATCTGTCGCCCAGTATGGAGTGCAGTGGCATGATCTCAGCTCACTGCAACTTCTGCCTTCCAGGCTGAAGAGATTGTCCTGCCTCAGCCTCCCAAGTAGCTGGGACCACAGGCATGCACCACCATGCCCAGCTAATTTTTATATTTTTAGTAGAGATGGGGTTTCATCATGTTGGCCAGGCTAGTCTCAGACTCCTGGCCGTAGGTGATCCTCCTGCCTTAGCCTCACAAAGTGCTGGAATTACAGGTGTGCGCCACTGCCTGGCCATAAGTTATCTGTATACAAACCTTATGACTTACACAAAACATTGATGACAGGCTTCAACTTCCTGTTTTATCCTTCACATTTCACTTTCTTAAATAAACAGTCATGTTATTTGAGGACAAAAAAATGTACCATACAGGATTCTTTCCCATATAAAATGATTTTCCTTTTAGCTTTTCTTACCAAGAATACCTCTTTATAGAACGTAAGACCTATAACTTCAACTTTCTTTACATCTCTTACTTACTGATTCCTTTCACCTTGTTTCATAAATAACCTTTGAATTAGATTAAAATTATTTTTCTTTAAGAAGACTTTTGTTTTTGAGACAGAGTTTCACTCCTGTTGCCCAGGTTGGAGTGCAGTAGTGCGATCTAGGCTCCCTGCAACCTCTGTCTCCCAGGTTCAAGCAGTTCAGCCTCCTGAGTAGCTGGGACTACAGGTACATGCCACCATGCCCAGCTAATTTTTGTATTTTTGGTAGAGGTGGGGTTTTGCCATGTTGGCCAGGCTGGTCTCGAACTCTTGACTTCAGGTGATCTACCTGCCTTGGCCTCCCAAAGTGCTGGGATTACAGGTGTGAGACACTGCACCTAGCCAAGAACACATTTTTTAGAAAAAAATTTTTGAATAATTTCTTTAAAAAATTTAGAAATGATCAACATTAATGAATATTCTATTCGATGTAAGTTTAGACTCTAAATTATATGACAAGTTTGTTTAAAAGCATTCATTCCATTTACCTGATTTTTAAAAATAGTTTACCTAGAGTACTTATGAAAATGATGATAGTCATCATTTACGGTTATTTCCTTGTTAACCATTTTGTTTTATTTTACCTTCCAAGGAAATGACGTGTTAACCATTTTTATAGCCTGTGAATTTGAGTTGTTTGTCTAAGTAAGAACCTTAACGTTAAATAAATGTGCATGCTTTATTTTGCCAATAAGTTAGGATTTAGTTATTTTCGTTAAACCAACAATATTAAATGCCTTATTTATTAAAAAGTTACACAAAGATAATTCTCTTTTGGGCTGCATTTATAGCTTTATAACCTTCATGCCAAATTTTGACATGTTATAATGTCTAGCAAGATAAGTATAAAACTGTGTGACCAACAAATGTAAACAATAATATATGTTGGCTATTACAAAGACATTTCTTATTTTATTTTACCAATAATTTAAAAACCAACTTATTAAGATTCACTGAAATTACGGCCGGGTGTGATGGGTCACGCCTGTAATCCCAATGCTTTGGGAAGTTGAGGCAGGCGGATCACCTGAGGCCAGGAGTTCGAGACCAACCCGGCCAACATGGTGAAACCCTGTCTCTATTAAAACTACGAAAATTAGCGGGGTATGGTGGCACACACCTGTAATCCCAGCTATGCAGGAGGCTGAGGCAGGGGAATTGCTTGAACATGGGAGGTGGCAGTTGCAGTGAACTGAGATCGTGCCACTGTACTCCAGTCTGGGCAACAAGAATGACACTTGCTTTCAAAAAAAAAGATTCACTGAAGTCATGTGAACTTGAAAAGGCATTTGGGCTTAAAGTTTCTATTTTTCTGATAAAGTATTTAAGTGTTTTTCCCTTTTTCTTTAAGCCAATTAATTAGAGCTCATTGTATTTTTGGTAGTGGAACATTGTAAATACAACATATAAATGTATTAGATACACAGATAGAAGTAGATCTTACATATTTACAAGGACCCCTTTTATTTTATTTATTTATTTATTTATTTATTATTTATTATTATTTTTTGAGACGGAGTTTTGCTGTTGTTGCCCAGGCTGGAGTGCAATGGCACGATCTTGGCTCACCGCAACCTCCGCCTCCTGGGTTCAAGCAATTCTCTGGCCTCAGCCTCCTGAGTAGCTGGGACTGCAGGCATGCACCATCGTGCCCAGCTAATTTTTGTATTTTTTTTAGTAGAGACGAGGTTTCACCTTGTTGACCAGGATGGTCTCGATCTCTTGACCTCGTGATCCACCCGCCTCGGCCTCCCAAAGTGCTGGGATTACAGGCTTGAGCCACCGCGCCCGGCCTTATTTTTTTTTTCTATTTGAAATTTCCAGTGTCTTGATAACCTGCTTCATGACTCCAGGCTATTGTCAGCTAGATAGCCCTAAATTTGCACATTAAAGGAACCACTCAGGTGAAAGTCAGATAGTGAAATTTGTATCTCAAAGTAGAGAAAGATAGTATGTGTCAGTGTGTTGGAAGGATACTTAAAATGGATGCCAAACCAAACGTAAAATTATAGAAATCCACAATAGGATTTTATAAGGAGACCAATTTTATTTAGATAGGTGGTTTTCAATTTAGTCCCTATCTTTTAACTGGGTCTTGGAACTCTGGGAGGAGTTGAATCCTCGGTCTCCAGAAAGAGAGGGATCAAAGGACTGGGCCTCATAATGCATTTACAGTACATTTTGCAGTGAAGACATTTCTGTAAGTATTCAAGCTGCACCCTTGTTATCTTAAACGTGCAAGGTGCTGGCTGTTCAGCTGCTCTCTGAGATGCAGCTACAAGGCCAGCATGCGTGGACTCGGTGATTGAGACTCCGTGCCGTAGCGTGGCACCTGCTGTCTCCATTACTGTGGCTGTGTAGTTAAGCTTTGAAACCAGAAAGGGTGAGCCCACGAACCTTTTTCTATTATGTAGTTTGTTGGTTTATTTAAAAATAAAAATAGTCCTTATTTTCCCAAAAGCAGTAATGATGTCCCCACTTCAATTTCTTTTTCTTTTCTTTTTCTTTTTTTTTGGAGACAGAGTTTTGCTCTGTCGCCCAGGGTGGAGTACAGTGGTGTGATCTGCAGCCTCTACCTCCCTGGGTCAAGCTATTCTCCTGCCTCAGCCTCTTAAGCAGCTGGGACTGCAGGTGTGCGCCTCCACACCTGGCTGATTTTTTGTATTTTTAGTAGAGTTGAGGTTTTATCACATTGGCCAGGCTGGTCTTGAACACCTGAGCTCAGGCAATCCATCTACCTTGGCCTCCCAAAGTGTTAGGATTACTGGCGTGAGCCACTGCGCCTGGCCCCCACCTTTCTTTTCTGTCTTTGTTTTTGTTTTTGTTTTTGAGACAGAGTCTTATTCTGTTACCCAGGAGGGAGCGCAGTGGCACAATCTTGGCTCACTGCAGCCTCCGCCTTCCGGGTTCAAGTGATTCTCCTGCCTCAGCCTCCCGAGTAGCTGGTATTACAGTTGCCCACCACCACGCCTGGCCAATTTCTGTATGTATATAATTAATTAATTGATTAACATATATATATATTTTTAAGACAGGGTCTCAGTCTGTTGCCCAGGCTGGAGTACAGTGATCTCTGCTTACTGCAACTTCCACCTCCCAGACTCAAATAATTCTCCTGCTTCAGCATCCCATGTAGGTGGGATTACAGTTGCACACCACCACACTTGGCTAATTTTTGTACTTTTAGTAGAGATGGGCCCTCAAGTTGGCCAGGGTAGTCGCGATCTCCTGACCTCAAGCGATCCTCTCACCTTGGCCTCCCAAAGTTAATTTTTGTATTTTTAGGAGAGACAGGCTTTCAACACGTTGGCCAGGCTGGTCTTGAACTCCTGACCTCAAGTGATTCACCTGCCTCGCCTCCTAAAGTGAACCACTGTGCCCAGCTCTACTTCCATTTCTGACTTGAATAATTTGAGTCGTCTTTTTTATTTTAGTCTAGCTAAAGGTTTTTCAGATTTTTGTTGATCTTTTCAATAAACCAACTTTTGGTTTTATTAAAGAGTAGCCCAAATAGTAATAACTATTTTAGACCAAAAGAAAAATCAGGTAACAGAGTACAAAAGCAAGCAGTTTAAGATCTGAGAGGAACTGGTCTGTTGATACTTTTGGGTTTCCATAAAGAAAAACAAATTTATCTCAAAAATGAGTCTGGGGCCGGGTGCAGTGACTCACACCTGTAAGCCTAGTACTTCGGGAGGTTGAGGTGGGTGGATCACCTGAGGCCAGGAGTTCAAGACCAGCCGGGCTAACATGGTGAAACCCTGTTTCTACTAAAAATAAAAAAATTAGCTGGGCGTGGTGGCACATGCCTGTAATCCCAGCTACTTGCGTTGCTGAGGCAGGATAATTGCTGGAACCTGGGAGGCGGAGGTTGCAGTGAGC